GCTCGCCGCAGCGGCCGTTGCAGAGGGCGTTGTGAGACTGCTGTAAACAATGGAAACTTTCTCCTGCGCGAAGGGTGCCGCTGCCTCCTGGCCTGCTCCGGCCGTGCCGTTGTAGGAAGTGGGTGTGCGGGGTTAGCGCTCTCCTTCCTGAGCCGCCTACCACGCGAGGGTGACAGTTAATGTGCTTATTTTAGCAGAAACGAGCTCCTGGATGTAGAAGGAAGGTAGCTTGTGCGCACGGAAAATGCCTCTAAGGGACAAGTGTTGTCAGACTGACCACCATCACCATGGATGCTGTGAACCAGGTACAGTGGTGTGTAATGCTCTGGCTGTTTTACTGCTGTCCTCCATTAAAGCTTGTGGAAACTGTTGTCGTGTTGCAAATGTGCATCATCAGTGGCAGTTTTGGATATACAAGGTTTCCAAATGCTGTTTGGAAATGTTATTTAGTATCCCTGAACTGTCATGTTAAACGTATTTCACGAAGATAACTTCTGAGTGCCTGCAGGATGTGCAGTAATCTCCAAACCACCACATGGGTATTGTGTGTAGTGAGAGAGAAGGCAAGAAGTTGTGTGAAACAACTGGGCTTTTTGTTGCCAAAAACTGTAATAGGCTCATTTTTTTTTCCTTGTAAAATGCCAATCTGGCAATCTCTTGCATTCATTGGTTATTTTTACTTTACATTTCTGGATGAACTTGAAGATCTTATTCTTGGAGGAGGAAAAAAAAAAGGGTCCTGAAATGTCTGTTTGCATTCCACTGCTCTGTGATGTGGAAGATGCCATCAGTGGAAAGTGTAATGAATACTTTGAAGGTTTAGCTAACTTACTAGACTTTTTTTTTTTTTTGGTGATTGTTCTGCCTACTGTTACAATTGGTAGCCTAAAAGGAAATTTGTTTCTTTTCTTGTGGCCTTGTTGTAGAGCATGTTATTTGGATGCTTTCACTCGTGTTTTGAAAAGAAAGGCATCAGTTTGGGGAATTTGTAGTTGAAAGCATGAACATGGCAACTTTGATAACGCTCCTTTAATTAAATGTAATTTGAGAGTAGGTATTGTTCAGCAAGTAGAAACAGTTCTTTGTGTTTAAGATGAAATGGCTATGAGTTGTTCTAGTTCTTTAAAAAAAGCTAAAATACTCTTCTTGCCTTACAAATAACAGGAATGTGTTATGTCTGCTTCACGTATGTCACTCCTTTTGATGTCAGTGGGTGTTGCACATGCATATTAGAGGCAGTATACAAACCAAAATATACTACTTTGAAGAACAGGGACTAGGCCAGTAGGATACAATATGTCATTGTGTTAGAGATCCCCAAACGATTAGCTGATTTGCAATGCTTGTTATGTGTTCCTGTATATAATAGTATGTTATGGGGCCAGCATAGTTGGAGGAGTGTTCGTTCTATCGTTCCTTTCTTAGACTGCTTTTCTTTCTGACGTTCTTTTCAGGTTGAATTTATTTTTAACCTTACATCTTTTAGAACGGCTTTTCTGTCAAAATACGTTTAATCTATTTGCACTTAATATCTTTAGTAGTTTTATATGATGCCTCTAGTGCTCTTTATCAAAAATAACTTTCTTAGAGATGCTCAGTGCTTCATTTTAAAAATGGAAACCTTACAATGGGGTTAAAAATCGAACTGAATGAATAAGGTAGGAGCCAATTTACAAAGTATGAAGCTAGTTATTTTGTCAGTAAGAAATGAAAAAGAAGACCTAACTGACAATTTTGCAAACACATGCTTGTTACCTGAGTAGGGCTCATTTAAATTTGGGTTTCCCTCTGAGCAAAGCTTAGTTGCTGTATGCATATACAGCAGTGGAATGATACTGATGTTCATATTCATAAATACTACTTAGTAGAATAACTTAAGCATACTTAGCAGAATAACTGATCAGTAAATGTTTTAGTTTCAGTAGATCTTACAAAGCTTATGATGTGGAATGAAACTTCATAAGTAAGGTGTACCTTCAGCAGTTTGCTTGAACCAGAAGCATTTCTTGAATGTGGCTTTATTGATAAAAGTATTATAATAGCTCTTTTTGGTATATACAGTATAGTTACACTTGTGCTTTTGTTTCCTGATCATTGCTACTTTACATTTGGATTCAGTGCTGAGGTGTGTACTGGTAACACTGAAATCGGATACCTGTGAAAGTACAGTATTTGGTAATGCTTTTTTGTGCATCTGTTTCCATTTGAATGATGGGAGTCGAGTAGATTGTTCTGGGGAACTGCTTTAATTGGCAGAAGTTTCTGGTGAGCTAATTTGGTTTTATATATATGGTTTTGTGTTTGATATGCATGGCTTTGAATACACATTTTTCTTTAAATCAAAATGACTGCAAACTGTCAGAAGGCATCATGGCTGGAAAATTCAGTATTGATTGTTTTTTAATTCAAAAGTAGATGAAAACTTTTGAGTAAGACAACTTTTACTGTAGTCCTGGTCTTTCTTTTTAGCTAGTTTATTGTATGAACAGAAAATCCACACTTCAATAAAAATCACTTGAGTGTTCTCTAATGGCTTATTATTCTTTCATATATTTCAGTGCACCTATTGGAACCTGGTGATCCTCCATTATTACAGCAGCCTCTGCAGACATCAAAATCTGGTATTCAGCAAATCATTGAGTGTTTTCGATCAGGTATGAAGCTATGCCTGGTTCTTAAGAAGTTCATTGCTTTGTTATAATAGTTATACATATTTAGTATATTAAAATAACTAACATCTGACTTTCTACTTTTTTTCAAACTGTAGGTTTTCGGTGTAAGGTGCTGTTCCTTTTGATAATGGTTTTCGTATAACGCAGTGAAGATACAGCTCCTGCTGTATAAGTATCTTTCAAAAACATTAAAAATTAGTTTGTTGTTCTGCTTTGTGTCATCACTCCTGCTGTTACTAATGACTTCATCCTAAACTCCCGAGATGAAGAGAAAATTTAGTATTTGCCTTGAACTTTACAGAATTGCTTTCTCATGTTACTTTCAAGGTTTTCCTTATTGGTTTTGGGAGTTGCAGTACATAGCAGTGAACCTAATAAAAACAACTGAGCATTTGGGTGAGGATGCCAGAGATGACTGAAACCTTTAGGGTTTTCTGTCTGTTTCTGCGCTTCTGATAAGGCAAACCAAACGTTTTATTTTCACAACCCTTGATGCAAGAACACAGCAGTTATTACAAAAAATAATTTTTTTTAAATTAAAAAATTAAGTGTTTTTAATGTTACTATCTATATGTTTCTAGATCTTTCCGCATAGAATTGTTTTATATATATGAAAAGTTTCACTGGATGTGAGAGTTGTTACTAATAACCTTTTTTAGTTTGGGTTTCATTGCCTCAGGCCTCAGATATGCGTGCCAGGCTCCTTTTGCTCAAAGCAGATTAATGAAATCTCTACTGGAAATAGCACAAAATAGCCGGAAGTACTCTGTCTCTGCGCTACTTCCAGGTTGTCCTTGCTGGCAGGTGTGAAATTGATAGTTTACCTTGACATCTTCACTCACCTGCACCAGGGAAGTTGAACAGAAAGCAAAAGGACTTAGACCAGGATTTTACTGGTTAGCTTTGAACAAACATTTCATTATGGAAGGAAACTATTTTGATTCTTGTGGTAAAGAAATAGAGATGAAAGCCAAATTATTGTCCATAACTATTTAGGGGGTTTTAGCAGAATCTGCTGTCGTCTGTGGCATCAAGAATAATAGATGAAATTAATTTTTTTTTTTCCCATATAAATGAAAATGCTTGCTAAAGGCATGAACTTTGGTATTTCTGCCCGAGGAGTATTGGTAACAACCAGTGTTCTGTACTGACTTCTTGTGGCGATGTTGTTATCCTGGTGTCAACATTTACATAATTTATTGACATGATTGTGTCAACATAAGCATAATTTGATAAAGTATCACCTGCCCCAATTAGATGTAACTACAAAATAGAGAAGGCTTTATTAAGCTGGAGGCAGCATATGCTGGCAGGAGACTGACTGCTTGTTTCCACAATCTGCAGTTGGGTCAAAAATAAGAAGATGATTTTTTTTTTTTTTCCCCTCTGTCTGCTGTATCCACAAAACCAGTGGATGATTTAAATTTATTGGCTATTTCTAGAAGTCCCTAACAGTCTAGAGTTTAATTCAAAATGATAGATTATTTTTTAACTTCCAGCAGTGAAATGCTTCATAGTTGCATAAGGATGATTTGAAGCTGGAGTGACTACCATGTCATCTAGCCTGAGCTCTCCGGTGTGTCGAAATCCTTTAATCTCACCCAGTAATTCTTAAGACCAATAACTTGGATTAGACAAAAACATTTTAGTCTTAGAAACTAAGACTAAATGGAAAGACACTAAAATATCAGAGTAACGAGAGAGAGCGAGGAACTTGTGTGTCCCTTGATTGGGAAATAGTGATGATTTAGGTGATCCTTTTGTTTTGTTTGTCTGGGAGAGGGGTTTGTGACAAGGGCATCATTGACTGCAAATTTTGGCAAAATTTTGATTTATCTTGTGGTGTCACCAAACTTGAGGCCTTCTGTTTGAATTACAGTTTGGCAACTTACTGGAATTCAATCTACGTGGAGTATCTTCAGTTTTGTTTGTATGGCTTCTTTTCAGTAGTTTTCTGTATCTGCAGAAATTCAAACATGGTTGGTGAGATCTGAGTAAAAAACTTGCTTTTGGGGGATATCTGTATAAGTTTTAAATTTGGGGTTTTCACTAAATCTAAGTATTTGTTCAGTAGTCTAAAAATACAAGTCAGATGAGGGTGAGGTAGTAACACTTAAAGAAAGAGCAGTAAGAAGAAAAAACGAGGTTAGGGCTGTGGCCAAAGAAGGGCATAGGAGGGGACAGAAACTGGAGAGTAGCCTCACTTAGTCAAGTTCGGGTCCCATTTTTAAGAATTGTTGAAGACTAGAAGACATCGTGTTTTGCTAAAAATCAGTTGTAAAAAATGTACTACATCAAGAAAGAAAAAATTGTCGTGGTAAGGCCCATTTATATTGAAGAACTATTAGATGTTATGAAATTATTAATATTTGAAAGGGTTTTGTTGAGGAAATGGTTCTGCAATGTGACTCTGAATTTGGTCTTTAAAAGGAAGTCTTAAGTGTCTGTAATGACAATAAACTTGTATGTCAGTTTCAGCTTGAAGAATGTCTTGATACTGTTTCGTAGTTGTCTGATACTATTTATTTTTTGGTCTAGTTTATATTTTTGCTTGTTTAACAAATTTTGATTAATTTTGGCTAATTACATTATAAGAAAAAAAGCAATTTAATAAGCTGGATTTGGTTAGCTAGTGTTTCTTTCTAATATGGAGTGGGTAAGTATTAACCATTTATTAATCCATTGCTAATTGTAGGCCTAATTTTTGTGAGATGAGAAATGGAGTGGGTTTAAAGTATAACTTAAACTCTGAATCTTTTAGCATGGGAGGAGCTGGAATACATCAATACTAGATCAAGCTGTATCTGTGAGGGATTTTTTAATACACAGTGTATAATAGTCTGGAAAACCTGCATATTTTGTCACACTGCTCATGTTGTAATAGAAAAGTTTCCTACTTAAATTATATGTATTTTCAGTAGGCTGAAAATATGTCTACAGTTCTACTTTCTTGCCTAAGGATCATCATCTTGATCTTGGGTCAGATTCTTAGATACAGTAACATTTCTTGACCTATTTTATTGTAGGCTGTGGGTTTTTTTTTTTTTGCCTTACCAGGTACTGGTTTTACATGAAGTAGATGTATGTATCTTGTTTTCTCAGCACTTTTGGATAATCTTAAAGAAAAAATACTGCAGGCTTCTTTAAATGTTCCAGGTGCTTGTTCTTTCCTGTTGGGCAATTATATTGCAGCATCCAGATACTGTAGCATGGACTCCTTCCAAATGTTACTTGTTAGTTTTTATCATAAATCATAATGTTTTCTCTGTAAACTGTAATTGCATAATCCTTGACTTACTTTTTCCAAACTAGTCTTGTTTTCATAGTGAAACTTTGAACATGTGTCATAAACTTACAGTGCAGTGAAGCAGTATTAACACAAGATTAAATACTGTTACAGTTGTCATGTTTTAAAGTGTTTCCATTTTCATGGGATGATGTGAATTAAAAGATGTACAGAAAACCTTCCTTAAGTGTAATATTTCTTTTATTACAGGAACTAAACAACTTAAACATATCTTGTTAAAGGATGTGGACACCATTTTTGAGTGTAAATTGTGCCGGAGTCTCTTCAGAGGATTGCCAAATTTAATTACTCACAAAAAGTTTTATTGTCCTCCAAGTCTCCAGATGGATGATAGTAAGTCTTACTAATTGAAATGTTTAATAACTCTCTCTGAAGTTGAGGAAGTTATCTTTCTGTACCATTTATGCAAACATACCAGAAACAAAATGCAAAAAAAAGTAGTGGAATTAAATTTCTGTAGTAACACATGTAGATGACTTTTATGATGGTAAAGAAGCCACAGCATGCACTTACTAAGCATTTGTCGTGGTTTAAGCCCAGCCGGCAACTTGGAACCACGCAGCCGCTCGCTCACTCCCCCCCTTTTCCTTCCTCCCCCCGCTCCCGGAGGGATGGGGAGGAGAATCGAAGGAATGTAACTCCCACGAGTTGAGATAACAGCTCTCCAGTAACTAAGGTATAATACAAACCACTACTGCTACCAATAATAATGATAAGAGGAATAACAAGGGAAAAGGACACAACCGCTCACCACCCGCCGACCGATACCCAGCCCGACCCGAGCAGCGATCTGGGCCTTCCGGGTAACTCCCCCCAGTTTCTATACTGGGCATGACGTGCTGTGGTATGGAATACCCCTTTGGCCAGTTTGGGTCAGTTGTCCTGCCTCTGCTTCCTCCTGGCTTCCCCTCCTCTCTGGCAAAGCATGAGACTGAGAAAGTCCTTGGTCCGAGTAAACATTACTGAGCAACAACTAAAAACATCGGTGTTATCAGCGTTGTTCCCAGACTGAAAGTCAAAAACACAGCACTGCACCAGCTACTAAGAAGGAGAAAAAATGACTGCTGTAGCTGAACCCAGGACAGCATTAACAACTGAGACCCTTGTCAATGTCATAATTTGACAGCTAGTTGTATGTCCAACCTCTTAATGAAGAGTGTCCCTGTTAACACTTTGTATTCCTCCTTCTCCTTTTTCTTTCCTGTTTTTCCCTGTTTACTGTGAAAGATACTAAAAAACATGCCAGAGGACTGGGAAATTAATCTTGTAGAAAGGTGTAGATCTAAGAAGGGTTTTCAGTTTTAGATCAGCATAGCTCTGGTGGTCTTCAGCTGGATCATGTGAAGTGGCTGGGTTCAATATCCATCATTTTCTCCTGTACTTGGGAAGCGCTCAGTGTCATCAGCACAGTCCTTCGGTCTTACACATTATGAAACACAGACTAAAAGTTCACCATTTTCTTTGAGGACCTGCACTTCAATAATACTATTTCCCACCACTTCATGTCACCTTGATCTGCAATAAGATATTCTTTGACCAGGCCAAGCCCACCACCTTTGTTGTAGAAATCAAACTTTATTATTAAAAGAAAGAAGATGAGGAAAGGATAAAGTAGTATACTTTTATGGAAAAAGAAGTTTAAAGTGTCATTCCAGTGATGGCTTTTTGTTGATCTGAGTAAATCTGAATAATTTGGAAATGTGCCAGCATTCAAAAATGTTTTGTAAAGTTTTCTAGTTATCTTGATCTCTTGACTAGATCAACATAGGTGCAGTG